GTTATGATCATCTGCTGGCTCTTACTGCCTGCCTGACACTTTTAAGGAGATTTGTATCTACAGTTTTCTCAAGGTTTTTTTAGTCTTTCCCATTACACTGTTGAAGTATCAAGGAATATAGCTTTAAATTTGTGGTTTAAGATTTAATTTTAATATTACATTGTATTAATAAAAATATGCTCCAGAAGATAAAGACAGGAGTAAGATATTAGGCTGGTGCTTTAGTTTGGTAGGGAAATGTACACTAAATCAGGGCTGTCCAACTGGCACCTTGCAGGCTCCCCCCATTGCTTTTTGCTGTAGCTGCTGGAGTTCCCAGGCTCCCCCTTCTTCCCCTAACTCAGGGGAACTGTTTTGGCTGTAGGACCACCTAACAACTTTTGGTGAGCTGTCAAGGGCCAGAAGGGTAGCTCTGCCCCTTGATAAGTGCCCGCACCACCTGATCACCATCTTGGAACCAAAAGTCCCACCCCCTAATCCCTGTCCTTTGTCACAAGAAGTCCTTCCCCTTGCCCCAAGAAGTACTCCTTTTGGGACAGGGGGTTGCCATCAAGCGTAGGGGCTACACATGTGCAGCAGGGAGCAAGGTTCTGTCTAATCTATGCGTGTACGCAGCTGTGCACAATAAAAAAATCTTGCTGTGTACAAACTTTTGAATGCTGTGCACTTGCCTGAAGAGGAGCTAGGTTGCGGCTTCCTCTCAACTTTGGGTGCGGAGTGTGGGGAAGGCACCAGAGCCGCCACGGGACACCTTACCAGTGGTAAGTTACTGCTCAGCTGCACGGGGGCCACTCCGCTCCACTTCTCACTGCACCAGTATCCCCATGGGGAGGGAGAGTGACACAGGGCAGGCAGCAACTCCTCTCTGAGACAGGGGCTGAGCTAGATTCAACCTGAGGTGGGCTGAAAGCAATTGCCTGCTTTGGCATTCATCCAGAGGCAGAGTTCATTTGCAAAGGGGGGCGGGAAATATATATATATATCTGTATGGGATCTTTGGCCCTCAAGCATTCAGGAGGCTTTGGCCTATGTAGCTCAGCCAGGAGCACGCTCCCTCGACTTACCAGAGCAGCTCCGATGCAGGGGAATCGCTCCGAGCCACTCGCACGTTTTTGAGTCACGGCAAGAGTGATCTCAGCGTATATACACCTTCCAAAAGAGCTTTCCTCCCAGCCTGGGAGGAGGGTGGGGGCCTGGCCCCTGTTGGGAAAGCTGGTGCCTGGGGGCAGGGTGCATTCCCAGGTTGGCCCCACCAGCCTGTACACTCTTTGAAAATCCAGGTCAGGGATTTTCCTGCTGCTTGGCCTTCCTGTTTTAATCTGCGGTCAGCCTTCAGAATAGTACTGGCCCTTTGAGGCCATCTCAGAGAAATATTAACTCTAAGTTAAGCCTATGTGGCAGGCTTCTTTTTCAGACCTTCACAACAAGCGGCATGCTCATGGACCACTGCACCTTATAGGGAACATTGGCAGGGAGCACTAGTGATACAGCTGGCCCAGCAGGGGCTGCACTCCTCACCGCAATGTGCAGTGCTGGCTGGAGCCTCATGCTGCCAGGCACCAACAGCTGTGCCAGGCATGAGTGCCCTGAGCACCCCTGCCTACTGCTGCCACTGCCTGCCAGGGCTGTGCACCATGGAGGGAGTGTGGGATGGAAGGGAGTCCCCACACACCCCCATCCTCTCACCCACACACTGCCCACTGAAGCTCTGCACTGCTGCTGACCCCCTGGGCATGGGCTCCACACTGCCGCCAACCCCAGCCCCATGGTCCATGCTCCACCTAGCTGCAGCTTTGCCCCCACCCTGTCACTTCCATACCTGCTGCCCAGAGCCAGTGGGACACTGGGGAAGCCAAACAGGTCCCCAGTTGCTGCAGCAGCAGCCCTGCTCAGAAGCTGCTGGTGGCCAGGCCAGGCCCTTTCACTCATGAAGGTGGGAGCAAGGCGCGGTAGGGTGCTGGGGGCACGTGCACATATGGGTTCCTCACTCCCACCATCGTAGGCAGAAGGGCTGGGTGGGGTACAACTCATTGATGGGCACCACAGGCCAAATGAAAGTGGTGGGCCAAACCTTGTCCACCGCTGGTGTATAAAGAGACTATTGCCATAGCTTTAAATAAAGTCTTACTGTTATATATTGTATGGGAGGGGATAGGGTGTGGTGGGGGGGATGAGTGGGGGAAGTATGTTGTGGGGTTAATGAAGGTTGGGAGTGTGTGGGGTTTGCAGGGATTGTGGAAAGGCAGGGGGTGGGTGGGTGG